CTTCTGGCTGTACTTTTTCTTCCTGCTTTCTAAATGTGTCAGGAGTCAATAGGGTTCTTTCTGAACTCTCGCTTCTTCATAAATCCATCTATTCTCAGGTCATAAACCATTTAAATTACTTATATAACCTTAAAAAACAACTCTAACATTGACAGTATTTGGTCCCGTGCCATCAGTCTGCCAGATGGCTCCACAGGGATATCTCATCAACCCAAACTCAACATATCCAAAATCAAATTTGTCATCCATGACTCCCCACTCTCCTCCAAAAAGATGCTTACTCATTCTTTGGACTTCCCTATTTCTAGTAACAGCACAAAATCACTTAGGAATTGATATCATCATTAAATAAGGGCTTCTAGATTCTCAATCAGTTCAGCCAATTTCTGATTGTGTGCCAGTCACTCTTTAAAAAGTTGCATTCTCATCAAAATGAATGAATACAGCAATTTTCATTCAATTCCTTTAATGGCACACTAACTTGGTACACTATACACACTTTGAATTCTGAAGCCAGTACCCAGCCAACACTCACCTCCAATATTGCTACCTAATAAAGCAAATCAAAAATCACTCCATTTTTTTCCCCTGCCATATATACAGAGGAATATTTAGTTAAGAGTAAGCAGGAGGCAGTTAAATTTTATCTGCTATTGTAAAAGATATGTCTGTAATGGTCCATACCATTTAGTTTCTACTTCAAAAAGTGAAAATTATACCTCCTCATAGAGTTGTTATGAAGACTACATCATGTATGTAACATGCCTAGCAGAGGACCTTGCACAGAGAGGTACTCAAAATTTTTCCAGAATGGATGACAGAAACCAAACAACAAATCCTTGAGGCTTAGAGAACACCAAGCAGGACAAATACTAGAAATTCTACACTCAAGCATATGATATTCAAACTGCAGAAAATCTACAACAAAGAGAAAATCTTGAAAGAAGCCAGAGAGAAATCACATTACCTACACAAGGGCAAGGATAAGAATTATATTGATTTCTCAGCAGTAAGCACACAAATAAGAGTGAAATATAAAAGTAGACCTTTTCAGACAAATTAAAAACTAAGGGAAATTGTCAACAGAAGTGCTTTGCAAAAAAAAAAAAAAAAAAAAAAAAAGTTCTTCAGAGAAAAGCCAAAATAATATTGGTCAGAAATTCAGATCTACAAAAAGACAGGAAGAGTCAGAGAATGAGTAAATGAGATTTCTTTTTTTAATTTTTCTTCATTCCTACATGATTCTAATAGCTAATTACTGATTCCAAACAATATCAATAAGGTACTGGCTGAGCATCCTTAATCCAAAACCTGAAAGAAAAAAGTCCTCAGCAAAATACTAGCAAATTCAATCTAACAACACATCAAGATCATACATCACAAGCAAGCAGCACTTATCCCAGGGATGCAGAAATGGTCCAATATGCACAAATAACTGTAATACATTACATAAACAGAATGAAGGATATAAATCATATGATCACCTCAATACATGCAGAGAAAGCATCTGATAAAATATAACATCCATTCAAGATTTAAAAAATAACTTGAACAAATTAGGTATGGATGTAACATGCCTCACCACAGCCAACATCACATTGAAAGAGAAAAGCTGGAAGCATTTCCACTAAGATCTGGAGTGAGAAAAGAAATGTCCATTCTCACTACTCTTATTTCCATATAGTTCAGGAAGCATTAGCAGGAATCATTAGGCAAGAGAAAGAACTAAAAAGCACATACATAGGAAAGGAGTTAGTCAAAGCATCCCTGTTTGTAAATGACATGATTCTATATAGAATCTAAAAGATTCTACCAAGAGACTGTTAGAACTGATAAGCGCAAAGCTGCAGGATACAAAATCAACATAAAAAATCCGTAGCAATTTTGTGAACCAACACTGATCTTGCTGGAGAAAAAACTTGTAAAAGCAATTCCATTCATAGTAGCTATAAAAAATTTAAATGGCTTGTGATAAATTTTTTTTTTTAATTTTTTTTAACTTTTATTTAATAAATATAAATTTTCAAAGTACAACTTTTGGATTATAGTGGCTTTCCCCCCCATAACATTCCTCCCACCTGCAGTTGTCCCATCTCCCACTGCCTCTCCCATCCCATTCACATCAAGATTCATTTTCTTTTTTTTTTCATTTTCAATTCTCTTTATATACAGAAGATCAGTTTAGTATATATTAAGTAAAGCTTTCAACAGTTTGTACCCACACAGAAACACAAAGTATAACATACTGTTTGAGTACTAGTTATAGCATTAAATCACAATGTACAGCACATTAAGGACAGAGATCCTACATGAGGAGTAAGTGCACAGTGACTCCTGTTGTTGACTTAACAAATTGACACTCTTGTTTATGGCGTCAGTAATCACCCTAGGCTCTTGTCATGAGTTGCCAAGGCTATGGAAGCCTTTTGAGTTCACCGACTCTTATCATATTTAGACAAGGTCATAGTCAAAGTGGAAGTTCTCTCCTCCCTTCAGAGAAAGGTACCTCCTACTTTGATGACCTGTTCTTTCCACTGGGATCTCACTCATGGAGATCTTTCATTTAGGTCATTTTTTATTCCCAAAGAGTGTCTTGGCTTTCCATGCCTGAAATACTCTCATGGGCTTTTCAGCCAGATCCGAATGCCTTAAGGGCTGATTCTGAGGCCAGAGTGCTATTTAGGACATCCGTTAGTCTATGAGTCTGCTGTGTATCCTACTTCCCATGTTGGATCGTTCTCTCCCTTTTTTATTCTATTAGTTAGTATTAGCAGACACTAGACTTGTTTATGTGATCCCTTTGACTCTTAGTCCTATCATTATGATCAATTGTGAACAGAAATTGATCACTTGGACTAGTGAGATGGCATTGGTACATGCCACATTGATGGGATTGAATTGGAATCCCGCGGTATGTTTCTAACTCTACAGTTTGGGGCAAGTCAGCTTGAGCGTGTCCCAAATTGTACATCTCTTCCCTCTCTTATTCCCACTCTTATATTTAACAGGGATCACTTTTCAGTTAAGTTTCAACACTTAAGATTGTCGCTCCCCCTCTTCGTGGAGGAACGACACAGGACCCTGCGCTGTTCTTTTGTCTGCTCGGCCCTCCCCGGGTTTGCTGCTGGTTCTTCCCGGGTTGGCTACCGTCCCTTCCACCTCCGTGGAAGGGCAGTTCCCCCAGCCACTTTCCCCACTTCCGAGGGGGAGCGGCACACTGCCGGCCGGCTCTCTTGGGGGCTGCACAGGTGTTCCTTCAGATAGATGTTCCCCTTAGAGGTTCCTGGTGCATGTTGTCTCTCTCCTCCTTTATAGTCCTCTTCCACCAATCCCAACTCTGCTACCCGCATGCCGAGTACACTGCTCTCCTCCAATCAGGAGCAGGTCCTGCTGCTTATTGGTTGAACTGGAGGCAGCTGTGCAGAAGCTGTTTCTCCCTTCTTAGCGCCATATTGTGGGAGAGCAGATGCATAGAATATGTCTTAATTCCAGTAACTTAGTCTAGTCCGAGTTGCTCCCAGTTGCTCCCCACAAAGATTAACTGTGTATTAATTACAGAATTCAACCAATAGTATTAAGTAGAATAAACAGAAAAAAAATACTAAAAGGGATAAAGTATTAAGTTGTTCATCAACAGTCAGGGCAAGGGCCGATCAAGTCACTCTTTCTCATAGTGTCCATTTCACTTCAACAGGTTTCCTTTTTGGTGCTCGGTTAGTTGTCACCGATCAGGGAGAACATATGATATTTGTCCCTTTGGGACTGGCTTATTTCACTCAGCATGATGTTTTCCAGATTCCTCCATATTATTGCAAATGACTGGATTTCATTGTTTACTGCTGTATAGTATTCTGTAGAGTACATATCCCATAATTTCTTTATCCAGTCTACTGTTGATGGGCATTTAGGTTGATTCCATGTCTTAGCTATTGTGAATTGAGCTGCAATAAACATTAAGGTGCAGATCGCTTCAAGATTCATTTTAAATTATCTTTATATACAAAAGGTCAATTTAGTATATACTAAGTAAATATTTCAACAGTTTGAACCCACACAGAAACACAAAATATAAAGTACTGTTTGAGTACTAGTTATACCATTAATTCACATAGTACAACACATTAAGGACAGAGATCCTACATGGGGAGTAAGTGCACAGTGACTCCCATTGTTGATTTAACAATTGACACTCTAATTTACGACGTCAGTAATCACCCAAGGCTCTTGTTATGAGCTACCAAGGCTATGGAAACCTCCCGAGTTCGCCAACTCCAATCTTATTTCAACAAGACCGTAGTCAAAGTGGAAGTTCTCTCCTCCCTTCAGAGAAAGGTACCTCCTTCTTTGATGGCATGTTCTTTCCACTGGGATCTCATTCACAGAGATCTTTTCATTTAGGTCGTATTTTTTAAACTTTCATTTAGTAAATATAAATTTCCAAAGTACAGTTTATGGATTACAATGGCTTTCCTCCCCCATAACTTCCCTCCCACCCAAAACCCTCCCATCTCCCACTCCCTCTCCCATTCCATTAACATCAAGATTCATTTTTTATACAGAGGATCAATTTAGTATATATTAAGTAAAGCTTTCAACAGTTTGTACCCACAGAAACATAAAGTGCAACATACTGTTTGAGTACTAGTTATAGCATTAAATCACAATGTATAGCACATTAAGGACAGAGATCCTACATGAGGAGTAAGTGCACAGTGACTCCTGTTGTTGACTTAACAATTTGACACCCTTGTTTAAGGCGTCAGCAATCTCCCCAGGCTCTTGTCATGAGTTGGCAAGGCGTGGAAGCCCCCTGAGCTCGCCCACTTTGATCTTATTTTGACAATGCCATAGTCAAAGTGGAAGTTCTCTCCTCCCTTTAGAGAAAGGCACCTCCTTCTTTGATGCCCGTTCTTTCCACTGGGATCTCACTCACAGAGATCTTTCATTTAGGGGTTTGGGTGAGTTTTTTTTTTTTTTGTGGGGATGCTTTGACTAACTCCTGCCAGAGTGTCTTGGCTTTCCATGCCTGAAATACTCTCATGGGCTTTTCAGCCGGATCCGAATGCCCTAAGGGCTGATTCTGAGGCCAGAGTGCTGTTTAGGACATCTGCCATTCTATGAGTTGCTTGTGGCGCCGGCACACCGGGTTCTAGTCCCGGTCAGGGCGCCGGACTCTGTCCCGGTTGCTCCTCTTCCAGGACAGCTCTCTGCTGTGGCCTGGGAGTGCAGTGGAGGATGGCCCAAGTGCTTGGGCCCTGCACCCGCATGGGAGACCAGGAGGAAGCACCTGGCTCCTGGCTTCGGATCAGCGTGCTGCGCCGGCCGCGGCAGCCATTGGAGAGTGAACCAACGGCAAAAAGGAAGACCTTTCTCTCTGTCTATCTCACTGTCCACTCTGCCTGTCAAAAAAAAAAAAAAAAAGAAAAAAAAAAAGAAAGAAAAAGAAAAAGAAAGAAAACCCATTACCAACACAGTTGCATAAAAAAAAATTTAAACGACTAAGAATAATTGTGTGTTAATTAAAGAGTTCAACCAATGGTATTACGTAGAACAAAAAAAATACCAAAAGGAATAAAGTAGTGAGTTGTTCCTCAACAGTCAGGACAAGGGCCAATTAAGTCATTGTTTCTCATAGTGTCCATTTCACTTTAACAGGTTTCCTTTTAGGTGCTCAGTTAGCTGTCACCAATCAGGGAGAACATATGATTTTTGTCCCTTTGGGACTGGCCTATTTCACCCAGCATGATGTTTTCCAGATTCTTCCATTTTGCTGCAATGACCGGCCTTCTTTTTTTACTGCTGTAGTATTCCATAGAGTACACACCCCATAATTTCTTTATCCAGTCTTCTGTTGATAGGCATTTAGGTTGACTCCATGCCCTAGCTATTGTGAATTGAGCTGCAACAAACATTCAGGTGCAACCTGAATATAGCCCTGCCATACAGTCCAGCCATCCCACTCCTTGGAATTTACCCAAAGGAAATTAAATTGGCAAATGCAGGAGCTGTCTAGACTACTTTTAATGCCTAACTCAATGTAAATGCTGTGTAAATTGTTACATTGTGTTGTTTAGGGAATAATGACAAGAAGTTTAGAAGAGATGCAATTTTTTTTCAAATGTTTGTTATTCCTGACTGGCTGAATCTGCGGAAACTGTGGATATGGAGAGCCGACTATATTTGCTTAGCAAGAAACATCCTGAAGCTTGTAGAAATTTCAAAACCAGGATACCAAGAAATGGGAGGGTGTTACTTAGCAATCTGGGTGACTTAACTCATAGTAACTGGCATATGTATAGTTGTGATTTGCATTCCAAGCATTTAAACTGAGATATTCCTGATCAGGTTGAAGGTACTGTGAGTAGAAAATCTCTTTCCCCAAGATATAAGATGGAGAGAGTCTTTGGAGAATTGCCTCGCTGAATTGGTAAGTTAGTTTTCTCCGGATTTTGGTGATTTCCCCAGTTCTTCCATAATTCCTCAGTGCTCTGGCCATTTTCTGGTAAGTCATGGTCTTCCGGTTACCTTTTCTTTTTCCCCAGAGTTCAGCCAGTTTTTCTTTGTTTTTTGATACAAATTGAAAGATGCCTTTATTTTTATCGACCCATTGAATACAGGATGCCATCTCAGGATTACACAGGGAATCGTAAAGGTATTCAAACAGTCGGAGCTTCTTCCTGCCTTTTCCTCCTTTTTGTGGGAAAATGGCAGGTTGCACCAATTGGTTTTCAGTTGCATTCTGCAGAGACTGGTGGACATTCCCTTCAAGATAGAGGTCTGAAACACTGTTTTTTATTGTTCTCCAACTATGAACAGATTCCTCTGTAGGCACCACTTCGCAGCAGTTGGAGTTTCCTCTGACATAAGGATAATGATTGATGAAAGCCAGGTAATTTTTGTAATCTGGGGAGGACTGGAAATCTCCCAGTGAATGCTGCCTGAGTATCTCAAAAGCGTCTTCAAATGCTTGGCCCAGCCTGTCTTGTTCCACACAAGTCTGCATGCTTCATTAATAAACTGGCAATCCTGCATGGCTCCAATTCACGGTGGCTTGAAGATGTTTCGTGGTTTCTCCTGAGGTCCATCTGCCAGTGAGAGGTGGGCCAGTACTAATGGCTTGTGATAAATTTAACCAAGGATCCAAAAGACCTCTACAATGAAAATTATAAAATACTAAAGAAATTGAAGAAGACATTTTAAAAAATGGAAATATCTCCCATGTTCATGGATTAGAAGAATATTAACAAAATATCCACAATAACCAAATCAATTTACAGATTAATGCAATCCTTATTAAAATGCCAACAACATTCTTCACAGAATTAGAAAAAACAACCCTAAAATTCATATGGAAACACAAAAGATCCCAAATAGCTAAAGTTATCTTGAATAATAAAAACAAAGCCAAAGGCATCACAATAACAGATTTTAAGACATACTTCAGGGTATTGCAACCAAAACAGCAAGGTACTGGCAGAAAAAGCCACACAGATCAAAGGAATAGAAATCCCAGAAATAAATTCATGCATCTACAACTAAATTATCTTTTTTAAGATTTATTTATTTATTTATTTGAAAGAGTTATACAGAGAGCAAAGGAAAGGTTGTGAGAGGTCTTCCATCTGCTGACCCCCTCCCTAGATGGCCACAACAGGTGGAGTTGTGCCGATCCAAAGCCAGGAGCCAGAAGCTTCTTCCGAGTTTCCCACGTGGGTGCAGGGGCCCAAGGACTTGGGCCATCTTCTACTGCTTTCCTAGGCCATAGCAGAGAGCTATTTAGGAAGTGGAACAGCTGGGACTCGAACAGGGCTCAAACTGGCACCCATACAGGATACCAGCACCTTAGGCAGCAGCTTTACCCACTACGCTACAGCACCGGCCCCAAATAACTTATTTTTTACAAAGATGTAACAACACTCCCTGGAGAAAGGACAGTCTCTTCAGTAAGTGGTGTTGGAAAACTGGATTCACAAATGCAGAAGTTTGAAACCTGACCCCTACCTTATACCCTATACAACACTCATGTGGAGGATCAACATGGTTCCTGGCTTTGGCATGGCTAGCCCAGGCTGTTGTAGGCATGTGGGAAGAGAATTAGCAAATAGAAATATTCTCACTGTCATTCATTCATATTCTCTCTCTCTCTCTCTCTTTCCTTCCCTCCCTCCCACTCTCCATCCCATCAACCCACCTTCCCTCCTTCTTCCCCTCTGCCTTTAAAACAATAGCTAGAGTAGCTACACTAGGTACTTCAAAAGTTCATGATAAATATTATGAAAAGACTATACATGGATTTCAAGTTTGTTTTGTACCAAAGAAAACTTATCTTTTAATTTAAAGCATCCTTGTATCAATTTCAGGCAAAGCAGATTTCTGGGCAAAGCGAGATTATCAGCAATTAAAAAGCTATTACATTACTATAAAGGACTAAATTCTCCAAGATGACACAACAATCCTTAATGTCTATGCTTTTAACAACAGAGTATCAAAATATGCAAGGCAAAACTAATGGAACTACAAGGAGAAATACACTAATCCACTATCACAATTGGAGACTTCAATATCTCTCTCTCAATCTGATAGGCAGAAAATCTGTACGGAGATAGCTTAACTAAGTAACAAAGTAACACCATTCATCCACCAGATATAATTGACGATTATATAGTATGTCACCCAACCAAAAAAAAATTCTTCAAGCTCACACAGAGAATTCTTTAAGATAAATCACATTTGAGGCCACAAAATACATTTGAAAATTTTTAAATAAAAATCATACAATGTACACTCAGATTATAAAATAAACAAATTAAAAATCAACAGAATTAAATTTTTACTTAGTATAGAGTTGATCTTCATTTGAAAATAATTAAAAATGAATCTTAATGAAGGATGGGATGGGAGAAGGAGTAGGAGGTGGGACGGTTTGGGGGTGGGAGGGCAGGTATGGAGAAGAGAACTGCTATATTCCAAAAGCTGTACCTATGAAATTTATATTTATTAAATAAAAGCTTTCTAAAAAAAGAAATCAACAGAAGATAAATGGGAAATACCAAAATATATGGGGATTCAACACACTATGTTTATAAATAACATGGTTCAAAGTCTCAAGAAATTTTTAATTATTTTGAAATGACTGGTAATGAAAATGTAATTTACCAAAAATTATGGGATGCATCCAAAGCAGTGAATGGAGGGAAATTTATACCATGGGATAAATATATTAGAAAAGAATGATTAAAAGTGAATAACCTGAACTTCCACCTTTGGAAATTAGAAAAAGAAGACCAATATGCCTAAAACAAACAGAAGAAAAAATAGTAAAACATAAGCAGAGATTAAAGCAATTTAAAATAGAGAACACAGAAAACCAATGACACCAAATAAGGGGTCTTTGAAAATATCAACACAATTGATAAACTTCTGGTTGTATCAGATGCTTTTATTTCAGTTTTTAAAAATGAGTGCTAGTCTTCACCTGCCACTAAAGCATAAATATATATAAATATAAAATATTTTAAATATTTTAAAACATAAAATATTCCTTCCCCTTCAGCTCTGCTTTGCCTTCCCTTTCCATAATTCTCTGGTGTAAGTTCTAGACATGTATAAGAGTACTGCAAAAAGTCTGTGAAAAAGGAATCAAAAAATAACTTGGAAGGACAGGCATTCAGCCTAGCAGTTCAGATGCTGGCTAAGTGTCTATTCCCACATGAGAGGACCTGGTATTGATTCCCAGCTCTGGCTCCTGGTTTCAGCTACTGCAGACCCTGGGAAACAGCAGTGACGGCTCAAGTAATTTGGTTCCTTTCACCCACGTGGGAAACTTGAATAAGAGTTCCCAGAGACACAAGCAGACCCACACTCCACCTCTCCACTTCAAATAATTTTTTAGAGTATTTACTTTGGTGTAAAAACTTTTTAAATTTATGCATAGTTTTTCATAATACATATTTCCATGAACTTTTTGAAGAATCCTCATGCTATAGAAACTCACCAATAAGACATTCAAGACAACAAATGTCCCCCATTAAACAGTGTAAAATGAAACAAACAAAAAGCTGACTTTTGCAAAATAATGTAAAAACAACAGATTTATAGTTTCTGGTAGCAGGAAGTAAGTTAATCCTGCTCTGACACAGCTTTTTCTTCTCAAATGAGTTAGTTAATATACATGTAGAAACATTACATTATTGAAGTAGACCTGGGTACCTGTTACTCAGGATGAAAGAAAGGCAATAAGCTGGACTACTGCCAAACACTGAAAAAAGCTTGGCTGCCATCATCATCTAATAGTCATCGCCACATTCAAAATCCACATCCTTAGAATTATTTTAGGGCCATAACTTTATGTAATAGTACTTTGTCAGCAAAGGATAGCAGGAAAAAATGGGACTTTAAAATAATGTGTGTCTGTGTTCAAATCCTACTTTCATTTTTATTAACCATGTGACCTTGCACTAATCTATTAGAAGATTCAGTTGATAAATACTAGGAATACAATTCCAACAGGTTTATGCAAAAAGGAAGACTTATTGCAAAGTTAACTAGGGTGTCTCTTGGAATTCAATCTCAGGACCATGGACAAAGGCACCTGAATGCACTCAGGCCTCCACATTTACTTCTCTTTGCACCCTTTCTTCTAGATGCCCTGTTTGCACCCTTATTTCTAGATGCCCTGCTTATCTAGTTCACATGGCAAGACACAAGGCTATTAACAAAATCAAGTTTTATCACGCAGCTCAGCAACTGGAGAGAAAGGAAATTACTCAACCTCTGGGCACCCAGGACACAAGAAAAGCTCTGAGTGACCTGCCTTAGTGCAGAACTGGGCCAATGAAAGAAATTATCAGAACTGTGATTGGTCCCCCAGCCTTCTCAAAGCGTGAGTGATCATTATAAAAGACTAATCTAATCCAGTCATTAACATGATTTAAAAACCTTCATGGGCTTCCCCAATGGACAAAAATAAAATTCATAACCCCTGTCAGACCAAGCCTTTAATGTGTGCCCTGGCTCCTGTTTACCCCCACAATACAGGATCCCTCTAAGTTCCATCCACTTTGGCTGTTTTTTCATTCCTTGAATGTTCTTTGAACCTGCCAAACATCTTCCCTATCTCAAAAAGGTTTCACATGTGCTCTCTGCCCTTTCCCCCTGCCCCCTAGCTAGCTAACTGCCTCTCATCTTACCTCCAAGAAGCAAGCCCTCCCTAACACCCAGTATAAATTAGGTTCCCCTCCCTCGCCACAATTTCTAATTATAAATAAATGTGTTTGTTCAGTAGCTTTCTCTTACTACATCTTTAACCCCAAGATAGAGACCTACCCTTTTAGCACCAGTTGGCCCTCAATAATTATGTGCTGAATCAATAACTGGTTTAGCATGGGGCATGTGGTAATCACTACTAGATCATCCAGTTACAAATGAGGGGAGGGTAGCAAGAAGGCAGTAATACTATTACCAAGTTATTAAAATGACTGCCCCAACAGTAATTCATTGGGGAAAAGGGAATGAAGCAGTTCCCAGAGAAAGTAGGCTTTTGCTAAGCAGAATAAGCAACCTGTTCCATTCAGTTAACCTCTTCCTTCCATAAATTCCCAATAGGGCAATGATATCAATTAAATAAGATAATAAATATAACAGTATCTACACAGAGACTTGCACATATAGAAAATAAGCAGTATTACTTCCTTTCCTCTTAGGGAGACCATTGTTATGCATTATCCGTAAATGTAATTAATCTTCAAATAAAGCAAATTTAAAACCTACAAAATGCTCCAATGTACAGACAGGCATAGCTGTGTTCAATGACTCCTTTTCTCATAGCACCCTGATCTTTCACCTGCTATACTGTAGTAATTGTATACGTTCAAAATGCAAATAGCTTAAACTAAAAAAGACACTGGGAACACAAAAACAAGGCAAATGAAAATATAATGACAATCAAGCAACAAAACTATCTCTCTCCTCAAGAAGTTTATAAACACTTTTCAATGAGCCTCCAACCCCACCACAACCATGCCAGAGCTCCACTGTACTGGCTATACTCCGCCTTTTTCTTTCTTTTTTAAAAATATTTATTTATTTATTTGAAAGTCAGAGTTACACAGAGAGGAGAGGCAGAGAGAGAGCAAGGTCTTCCGTCTGATGGTTCACTCTCCAATTGGCCACAACAGCCAATTGGAGCTGCACCAATCCGAAGCCAGGAGCAAGGAGCTTCTTCCAGGTCCCCCACGTGGGTGCAGGGGCCCAAGGACTTGGGCTATCTTCTACTGCTTTCCCAGGCCATAGCAGAGAACTGGATTAGAAGTGGAGCAGCCAGGACTTGAACAGGTGCCCATATGGGATACTGGCACTTTAGGCCAGGGCGTTAACCCGCTGCGCTACAGCACTGGCCCCAGTACTCCATCTTTTAACTTCCTACTCCCACTCCACAAGCTTAATCACACTATTTTTCCTTAAAAAAAATTAAAGATTCACTAGATGTAATATCTCTCAAAAACATGAATAAACCTACCTTAACTTCACAAATTACTTTCAGTTAAAAAAAGAAAAAAAGCAAAATAATGAAACAAAAGAAATCATTTTAATTCTGTGTTTTGGTGCTTCTGAGAGTCTATTTGAAAAAAAGCAATCAAAAATTAAAGTAAGCAAAATCAAAAAACAATGATAACAACAAATCTCTTTTTTAATAAAAAGTCTTGCTTCCAAGAATTGGCATATGAGGCAGATTTTGACTTTGTTCTTTTCAAAGGGAGATCCAGAAAGAAGAAATTCCCTAATAGCAAGTACATAAGCAATAATATTAGAAAGTGAAAATTATCTCAGATAAAAAGGGGTTATAATGAACTTCAAATGCTGTACAATTTTATTTGCAGCTAAAAGGGACCTCAGAAGTCATCTACTTCTCAGTTTACAACTGACTTGTTCCAACTGTTCTCATGTCCTCATGAGATGGAAGGCAAACCACTCACTGAACTAAGATCCTGCTCTTCACCTCCAAGTGGTGAAAGAGGGCAAGTTCCTAGTAATGTGGTCACGTGCAACACAAGAGTACCATCGCATTTTTAGAGTCAGATTCTCATATGAGATTGTTGCAGAGTATTAGACATTTTAATATATATTAATACTAATTATTCATATAATCCCATTAATTCACTAGCATTATTAGAGTAGTTCTAGAATTCAGGCATATTATGGGTTAACCAGGTTTAAAAGGGATGTCTATGAATCTAACCACTAACCATATGGTTTCTGAGACAATAAATTGAGTTCTAAACCACTCTACATCAGTCCCATTCCAAGTTAGAGATACTAGTTCACAAAGGCTCTAAATTATAGAGCTAAATATGATTTAAAAATTTTTTTAAAGGCTAGGGGTCATTTATGTTTAAAATTAGATACTCATTTACCATAGATTTAATTAACATACTTTTAAATTACTATTTCATTGGAAAACTTAAGTCAGAAAGAATCAAATACATTTCTATTTCATCTAGTTGAGGAAAAACAAATTAATGTAGATTTTCATGAGGTTATAAGAAAATTGTTAATATCATTTCATAAATGGAAGATTGCTAAAATATACATTATTCAGTATCTAGTTTTATGTCAAAAGTATGTGGGTAAATGAATTATATTTGAACAGGTAAAATGGAGTTTAAAGACCCTCCAAATATATTTTTCTCATTTTTACTGAGAAAAAGCTTTGTTTTGTTACTTAAAAAGTTTGATAAACCTACTTTTCCAAAAAATTTTCATCCAGCAAACTAATTCAATGGATTTTCTTCACTTACTCATTTGATTGGTTCAACAAACAGAACTGAGTCTTTATTGTTTGCTAAACACTATACTAAGCAACTCTGGATTTATGACAGTAAGTGACTGGTCAGTTCCTGTCCTTAAACAACTTAGAAAAATTCTGAATTAACTGCATTTACTCCAATGTTACTGAAAGCTAAATTTTATCTGTCATTTAAGAAAACATAAATGTAATCAAATTAATTCTCCCCAAAGGAACTATAAAATAGTTTTAATTTTAAAGACACTTCAGTAGTTTTATCATTCACATGAAGTTTTCCCACAAAATAAATGTTAATTACTGTTTTGTTAAAAGTTCTAATAATACGATCTTTTAATAGTTTTTGCTATGGAAATTGACTGAGTTAATCTTTCAGAAGGAAATCAAAAAATGATGTACTGTGATAACAAAAATTGAGCACATGGAAAAGATACCTTAAATTATTTCTAAAATAAAGCAAAATATAAAATTAAATATAGTCTTACGCAATATTAACAAATTGCCTCTGGATATATATATATATCAATGTTTATAACCCCAAATAATAAACAAAGTAGCTCCAGTTTATACCTTCCAAATGATTACAACTGTAGATTTTGGAATGTGTCACCTACAAATTTTTTTAATGAAAAAGGCCTTAATATTTCCAGATAGCTTAATTTTTCACAAACTTAATTCAATATTATACTTGTTCATTATCAAGTCACATAATTTTTATCAGTATTATTTATGCCTATTATTTATAACTATACTTATTTACTATAATACCTAATGTCTGCAATTAAAAACAACTGATAGATGAAAAGCTTTCTTCAATTTAGAAGTATCACTCTAAGTATTGCTCCAAATTAAAATCAACGTGAATCAGTCATTCTAACATGGCAGCGAAAATCCATATTACATTTTTTCATTGTAGTTTTCACTGAAAGTGTCAATTTATCAGCTAAAGTATTTAAATTCCTTTAAAAGCATTATGAAGCATACTTACTGATCCACACATACAACCTAGTGGAGTAAATGAGTATTATCTCCATTACACATAAGGAAACCAAGGCACAAAGGTATCCATTTTGTAAATTGCAAGGTCATTTCTCAAGGAAGCAACTGATCCTACAGCATGAACATACGTGTGCCACTTCCAAGTGCCAGAAAACAAGTCCTGTACTTTTCAAATTGCCTTTGCAATGCCTATCTGCAATTCTGTTTCATCAAAAGAGTTAATGCAAGAAGCCTAAAAAAGGAAAAATGGAAAGGGAAGATTACAAAAATCAAAGGAAAACACTTATTTGGGGTAGTGAATTATTTATTTTTAAACAATAATTTGTAAGCATCAAGTACCCAACAGTTGCTTGTAATATTTGCAAAAAAATGTCATCCTTCAGGTACAGCATGTAAAACTGGAACATAGCTATCCTTGTAGACAGAAGTTAGAAACATAAGAAAAAGATCTGCAAGTAAATACATGATATTACAAAGAAAACAACTGAATAAAAAATAAAATTCAGCTAAGTTAGGGTACGATTAAAAACCCCATCATTCATTCCACTGTAGGCTATGGTTAGCAATCAAATATTCAAATATTCTACTGGTGAAATTAAATACCAAAGTTTTCTCATTCAAAACTTGAGATGTTTTATTCAAATACTTTATTAAAATATTCAATACAAATAAAAACTTTTCCCAACAGAAGCTTAAGAGCAAAAGGATAAATTGCTCCCGTAGAGTTCAGATTGAGACTACATGTGTAGACATAGCGCTATCAACAACTAGACCAATCAAAGTTCCCTACGACTCACAGGAAAGAACAGGAGAGGGGTTGAATCAGCAATACATCCATCACATCTATTACAGAACAGGAACAAGATTTAGCTACCACCAAAAATAAAATTAAAAAAAAAAAAAAACACAGAGCATTCAGAATGCAAGGCGTATCTTTTACAAAAAAGGAACCACAGTGAGCCCTGCTGAAGTACGTACTCTAGCTGGGGCTTAATTGATCAACCGTCTACAGAACAGGTCGCCGAGGCTCGGGTCGGATGTGCTGTCATCACTATTCCAGCTCAGGCCCCGCGAGTGCAGAAGGTGTCAGAGTACGGAAGCTAGGGGGCACGCTGCAGCCAGGGGAGAACAACGCCAAAGGTGCAATGGATGCTGCATAGTTGAATAATTATCTGGGTGGCACAATGGGCGAGTCCCGCCGACATCACAGCCCAGCAAGCGGCTCCCTAACTCTGCCCAACGCCCCCTCCCCACCCCCCACGAGTAGGCAGCGGGGGCGACCGCATCGCTTCGCCTCCTCTTCAAAGGAAAACCCGCACGCCCGCACCCGCTTTACCGTTATAGCTTCAGACACCGACGTGCGGCGCAAACACGCAAACGCGCCAGCGGGCTGCACCGAGCCTCGGGCACGCAGAGCCGCCCGGGGCTTCTCGGCCACCCGAGGCTGCAGCCGGCTCCCGGGCGAGAGGCCGAGGGTGCGGGCGGGCTGGGGAGCCCAGGCGGCGGCACTTCAGGTGAGACCCGCAGAGTCCCCGCCCCGAGCCGCCTCAGGGCGGTCCCCGCAGCGCAGACCCCGGCGCGCCCACCGCCGCCTCCCCGCAGCACCAGCCGGGCCGGCGGCGGGGAGGCGGGAGCTCGGGAGACCCGCGAATGGGGGCGGGGGAGGCGAGCCCACCCACCCCCGCCGCCTCTGCGGGCAGGAGAGCCACGCACACGCCTCCCGGCTCCAGCTCCGGCCGCTGAGACCGAGTTCCTCTCCCCGGCCCCCTCCCCCGAGGAAACAATCCCTGAGAGAGCCGCGCTCACCGTGAAACCTAGGGGCTCGTGCCTTACCCCTTCTGCATGCTTCGGCGGCGGCCGCCGGTCCCGCTCAGCTCCCGGGACTCCACCGAGAGCCCCCAGGAAGGGCAGGCTCCGGGGGTGGGACCCGCTCGGGGCAGCGGCTGAGGCGCCGGGCCGCGGGGAACGCCGCCCGGGGCGCCCGCCGCTCGCCGGACCCACACTGCGCTCGACGCGCGAGCGAACAACACCGCGAGCCGCCGCTGCCTCACCCGCCCCCTCCCCGCGCGCGACGCTCCACAACCGGGCGCGGGGATCCGCGCCAGAGGCAGGGGGGACCGCGGGACTCTCTGCTCCCAATTTCCCAGCCTTCCACCCAGGAGCTATTCCTGGTCAGTGACAGGTCTTCAAACTCAAGAGTCTCACTCTCCTCTTCAGCCCCCAGTGCCCAGGCGCTGCGGTGATGGGAAACCGAGCCTCCGCCCACTCGCCCATCCGTGGGGGTGAAGACCACGTTTCCCCCCTTTCCGGAGGCTCTGTGGTATTACCCAATCCTCAGTTTGGGGGAGGGGGACGGAGAGAACCCAGCTTGGCGAGGGAATGAGGGAAGATGATAGCCAATTGAATGAACCATCCATCCAGGGGCGGGGTCGAGGAGAGACCTGCCCGCCAGCCCCGCCTTCTCGCCCTAAACTACATTTCCCATGGTGCCTGCGCGCACTTCCCGCCGCGCTGCACGCCGGGAGTGTGTGGCCGCAAGGCCTCCAGGTATTTCTGAACTCGTAGTTTTTAATCTAGTCCTCCAGGTCCTGAAAGTGACCAGCTGTTAAAACTGGTTCCTTAGGTAAATGTTTCCAACCTCTTAATCCTATAGAAACTATTCAAATAATAATTGGTCTGTTTTTTTTTCAAAATGTTACAAATGATTTCTTAGCCAAGGAAGTAAATAATGTGTTTCATGGCTGTCTGTCAGGACCTGGAAGCCGCTTCTCCTTCCGCCCGGGCCTGGTGTCCGCAGAGGATCAGTTTGCCGTCATGTCGGCTGCTATTGCAGCTCTGGCCGCTTCCTACGGTTCGGGTTCGGGGTCCGAATCCGACTCGGACAGTGAAGGCGGCCGATGTCCGCTGCCAGCCGCCGAGTCTCTCATGCATCTGACTAAATCGCCTTCGGCCAAGCCCTCGCTGGCAGTGGCGGTGGACTCGGCTCCGGAGGTGGCAGTTAAGGTAAGTGCTGCGGCCACCGCTGCGGTGCGGGAATGGGCTCCAGCTCCAAAGTCGCCGCCGGCCGCTGTTCGGCCACGTTTTGCCTCTTTCTCGGCGCGGAGAGGCCAGTCTCTAACGCTTGGATTGCATCTGCGGAGCAGCCCCCTAGAGCCCCCCAGAACCCCTGCCCTCGCCCCCCGCTGTCAGAAAGCAGGTGGGAAGCGGGGTGGATTGGGACAAGGCTTGGACGAAGCCGGTGTAATCTCAGAACAGGAATGAAACTAGACCAGAACTGTACAAGCTGGGGTACGAAGTGAACAGTGGCCCGGCTTTGTTTTGTTTTTGAAGTAAGAACCAGGTTCTAATCCGTACGCCGCCACTGGTGTGAACTTTGGGCAAGTTAGGCAGCCTCCTCTCTTTCCTCGCCGGGGAGACAATTTTCAAAGCACCTTTGTATTTGGGAGGTTTCTTGTGAAGATTGAGACAATTTATATAAATAAAGTTTATAGCACAGAGCCTGGTATCTAGTGCGAGTGCGATCCTTGTTAGCTGTTCTTGATTATATGTTAAAATAGTGAGAAAAAGGCCTTGGATTTGAGGAAGAGCAGGCACAATGCCATTGGAGGAATATGATAAAGGCCGATATTGGGCTTTTAGAGTTCATTTAGCGAATATTTATCGAGGAAGCTGCTCAAAGGGCTGAAGGCACATTGGCCCACAAGCCAGCCTGTGCCAACATGAGGTGATTTCTAGTGAAAGAAGGTGCCAGTTAAACGGGACGGAGCAGAGTGGACACAGAGTGGATTGAGGCCTGCCAGGGCAGAAAATTGAGTTCCATAACAGAGTAAGGAAGGAGTGTGATTTCCAGAGGTTGTCAGGGAGAACTAGAAGCCGGTGCTGCAACAGCCGGGACAGGCAACCCTGAGAAGGCAGAGGCTCGTGTGTCTCAAGTACGGAGGCAGGGCTGTGCTGACGGGAGCCCAACAACAGCTCCAGTGGTAGTGTGGACCAGGCAGAGTTCCCGTGGGCGACCAGAAGCTTCAGATGCAGGGAGGGGAGGCCAGGCCGTGGGCAAAGTTTCCTTTCCAAGTTGTTCCAAAGTCAAGTGCTAAGAGAGCCTTGTGCAGGTTTTAGTAGACTCTCCATGAATTTTATTTTCTATTAATTGACATCTGTCATGAAAGAATGCTTAGAATCCTCCTGTCTTTTTTTTTTTTTTAAAGATTATTTATTTGAAAGTCAGAGTTACACAGAGAGAGGTAGAGGCAGAGAGAGGTCTTCCCATCCGCTGGTTCACTCCCCAGATGGCTGCAATGGCTGGAGCTGCACTGATCAGGACCAGGTCTCCCACGTGGGTGCAGGGACCCAAGGACTTGGGCCATCTTCCCCTGCCCTCCCAGGCCACAGCAGAGAGCTGGACTGGAAGTGGAGTAGCCAGGACCAGAACCGGCACCCAAAAGGGATGCCGACGCCTCAGGCCAGGATGTTAACCCACTGCGCCACAGCGCCCGCCCCTCCTGTCTTTCTAACAGACTCTTCAACCCTAAAGCCCATCACGACCTCCTTAATCTTTATTCCTTTCATAGCTCAGCCTTTTGGAGCTGTCTTCAGTTTTCCTCCTGAACCCAGTGCAGCCTGGCTCTAGCCTCTTGGGAAGCTCCTCCTGGAAGATGCCCCAGGCCTTGCAATTGTCATGTTCTGTCCTTTACCTTGACTCGCTCAGCAGATGACACTGAACTTTCCTGGTCCCCTCTTCTCTTGCCCTCCTTTTCAGCAGTGGTGTCCCCAGGACTCTGCCCCATAAGTCCTCTTGGTACTCCACGTATTCTCCCATATCTTTGGCCTCCATCTGTGCTTCAGCTCACAGATAAACACTGGGAAGTGGTTGCACAGCCTCTAGAGATAAAACTCCCAGGATTCAAATCCTGCCTCCAACGTTCAGTGGCCTTGGATAAGTTATGGAAGTCTTCTGTGCCTGATCTCTCGTCTGTGAAGTTGAATGACCCTGGTCCCATCTCCCAGAGCTGTAAGATTTGTCATCAAGACATAGAGAACCTTTTGCAGGGTCCGGCACACAATAGCACTAAATGTTAGCTGTCTTTTGTTTTTTCCATGCCTAAACTTGTTGCTAGCTTAAGGTCTAATAAACAGCTCCCCCAGGATGCCTCTCAGACACAGATTTCATTGTGCTGAAAAATCAAGCTGCTTTCTCTGCAGCCCACCCATTAGTCCAAGCCAAGAACAGAAGGGCATCCCTTTCTCTTCTCAGCCCCTGAAACCAGTCATGCAACTGGGTCTAACTGGTCTGCTTTGTGAATTTCTCTCAAGTCAGTTGCCTTCTCTCTATTGCCTGCCGTATTTTCACTGGCATTGCCTTTATATTTTGCTTATTTCTCCCAGTAATTGTTCTTGACTTCTCTTTTCCTGTTTGCCTCTACTTTGGGGTGCTCGGTCCTATGTTTTGCAACTCAGTGGTATTTACCCAATCTCTTCCTCTTCTGCTGTCACTGTTTATTTCAGAGTCCCAACATCTCGCAAGACAGTTAGAGCCTTTTGCTGGTCTTTCTGCCCCCTCTCTGTTGTCTCCTGGTTCCATGCCCCAACCTTCCCTCCGCAGTGTCCCCAAATTCCAGTTTCATCACATCACTTCTCTGCCGGTGCACCATGGTGCTCACTGGGCAATTGCTTAGGTGGTGTGTGAAGCCAGCCACCCTCCCATGCTGAACTCTTCACAAAGACTGGTTTTCTTTCTTTGTCTCACAGTTTGGCCCACACTAGTCTCTCTGCCTGAAAATCCCTTACCTTCCCTGCCCTCCAAAGTCTCCTGTCCCCTCAGTCTCAGTGCACAGGTGTCTTCCTGCACCTCTCTTAGCCCCTGGTTAGTATCTCACCTATAACACTTGCCACGTGGCTGGGACTTGTTAACTTTTTACTTTCCCCTAGGCAGTGAGACCCTGGCACCCAGAGATTGTTGTGTCTACTTGTTAGTG